ATAATTAAGTAGTTTCATTTTGTGCACAGAGATCGTACCAGTCGTGTTCACACAATCTCTGGCCGTGCACTGATCAGGGGAGAAAAATCACCATCCCACTCGGGTGCTGGCAGGAGAAACTCAAGGTCATTGGCTTTCTGAGTGCACAAACGTAGCTCACCCTTTTAGGAGTTTTGTGTTAGTGTGAAAGCACCTTAAGAGAGTAACAAATTCATTGAAAGGGTTTTGAAGGGTCCTGCTGTGTCGAGCAGGTAGCTTTTGCAAGTCTGGATTTTATGTTTGGAGTGACCACAAATATGACAGGCTACAGCATTGAGGGCCTGGTAATGCTCAGAGCGATGTGCAGAGCTGCTGAATGTAAGCTTGACATCCCAGCTGAAATGCACAGAGGACAAAAGTGTATGTGTTTTGATCTCAATCTGATTCTAAACCTGTCACCATGGATGTCCCCTCCATGTGAGCATTAAAACTGCTCATCGGGCTGCCCTATTCTGCGGAGTAAAACTTGTGTTGTCAGACATTTCAAGGTGAGAAGACACGGTGAGACTTGTCAACTGGAAAACTTGCCACTGCAACACTTTCCCAGGACTTCAAAGGGAATCTGCTAACTTATGTGAACAGGCACTGGACAGCTATGACAGTTTGGCAGAATGACTCCAAGTCAAATATGCAAGTTCACAGAAAAATATGGCAACAAAGCACCTTTACCGCGATCGCAGATGTGCTTTGTTGCTGTTGGGATCATGTTTCTGCTTTGCATTGCTCCTACATCTGTTGGTAACTCTTGTATGCTCGTCCCTCCTCATGCTTGTATAAATTACCCAAGCTGACTTTTCAACCAAAACTCTAGCACGCGCTTGCACTTCTTCTCTTTTACACTCAGTTTTTATTGTCAGAGACAGCACTCAACATGACTTTCAAAAATCTTTGGTGCCACACAATGCAGTGATTTTATCAAGATATTAAGAATGTTGATTATTCAAACTAAGTGAGTGTGTGTGTGTGTGTGTGTGTGTGTGTGTGTGTGTGTGTGTGTGTGTGTGTACTGTACATAAGAATAAGAATGAACACAAACTGGCCCTGGACGTAGTTTGGAGATGATAAGCTGGTTGTTCGTACAGTTTACATTGTTACATCTGAACATTGTTATTGAAGAGATCTTACAGGATACACCCCCCTCTCCTCTAAGAGTAAACAGTTAACAAGCCTCTGGAGAAAAAATGCAGATGACATTATGACATTTAGCTTATTCAAGGGTCAACTGGTGACGAGTTGCAAATATATCCTATAAAATAAATAAGTCCAAAGTGATTTAGAGATATTGCCATAGTTTGAGGGTAATGTTATGACAGCATGTCCTGCACCTACACACCCTCCAGCTAGCTGTAATGTAAATCACAACAGAGTTTAGTGTCAGGAGTCAGTATGAAACTATCATTTCACGTTAAAGTCGAATAGTTTCTGAATGTCTCTGACTGAAGAAACGAAGTTCACATTCCCACATTAATGTCAGCCGTCCTTAACACACGTAAAGCTACGTAGCTGTATTTGGCATGCTAGACATAAACTTGAACTCACCTGTCTAAATTCTGCTGCATGACCACGGCATCCGGCTCCGCCATGATCTTTGTGAAGCGACAAACTCCCGGACGATGTCTTTTTGTAGGGCAGATGAACGGAGTTACAAATAAAACATTAAAATTAAACGCCTGTTGCTGCAGCTGAGGTTGTATCACTAGCCAGCTAGCAAACGTGCTAATGCTAACTAGCTACCTACATAGGCCTCTGTGTTGACAACGGCGCTTCAGCTGCATACAAGACAAATTCTCCACATAACACTATTCCTTCGCGGTCATTGTAGTCCGGAAAACATAAACTTGTCAACTAAAATGCATCTGTACAGCGGCGACGCCCTCGTTTGTCACTAATATTATCGCGTTTGCATGACCGCTTGACTCCATTGACTGGCCGTCTCTGAGGTAACGCAGAAAGGCACGCTGCGCATGTGCGTGATTGCGTCATCAAAACAAGGCCGGCGCCCACAAAGCTTATCCGGAAGGGAAATGTAGTTTAACAATGTTTCATTCCCTCTTGCGGAAAATATATCAGACAAATGCATGAAATATGCTACATATTAGCGTAACAGAGGGATATGACACCCTTTTTATAAATACACTCGTCATGAATCTGCATAAATGAGTGAAGAAAACCTCTCACAGCTGTTCACAAAATGTCTTCGACCTATCTAAAGAATTAAAGGTAGCCTATATGTAGAGTAATTCAGAATGTATTTAGCAAGCAATTACGTAAGTTAAAGCGTTTTTTATACTTTAATTACTAGAAATACAGCAGGTACCCTACAGATTTATCAATATGAGTGCTTGGGTAAGTAGCTTATATGACTGCAGGAGTATGATAGGCCAAATGTATATTTTAATCCTAACTATATCCCATTGAAGTTAAAATGATAAGAATTATGCAGGAATAATCCCGTAACATTATGCCAATTTGGGTAATTTGTATTTGACTAAACCCAACAGGACAATATAACATTGTGACAAGCATGTGTTTTTTGAAGAGGTAGGAATATTGATTATCAAATCATTTGGTTCACAGTCCTTTTGGACTTCATCTAAAGTCATGTCTTTTTTTAAATTGGAAAATGACTTGATTCTGAAAGTGTTTTATAGCCAACATTAAGTTTTCTACAAAACAATTGTCGGGGGAATAGTGTAAACTTGAGTATTCCTCACAAAGACACTTTATTTAAAGTCAATTATCTATGGGTTTTTCTGACTGCTGCTGCTTCCACATCATCTACAAAGGGCCAGCTATGGACCTGAATAGTTTTTCACCAAAAACAATGTATTTGACAAATAATAGCTATACATCACAATTTCTCTTACATATCAAATTTGCACTCCTAAAAAATAGACTTTACATTGACGACTATAAAATACATCAATAAATATGTAGCTATAAACTAGAGTTCACATAGTTTATAGCAAACAAGTTCAAGGTTTTTAAGATACAAGTAAAACAGTGGCTGAAACTGAAGCAAGTTTGTGAGCATTGAATGTTTCCTCTTAGAATAGTTGTTTTACTGTTTAATCTCATTTAGTCTCTTATTTGTATTGCATGTGTCCCTGTTAAATAAATGAATAATAATAATAGTGTTTTGTGTTGATATTCTATTTATTTTCTTTTTATTATTTGTTATTATTAGGCCTATATGTAATTTATTTGCAGCCACTATTTTTTGTGGATGAAAGCACTTTGGTGAACACTGCTGTCCTTAAAATGAGCTCTATAAATAAAGCCTGATTGGATTATACAAAAAGTGCATACTAATAATAAAAAATAGGCTAAATAAATCTAATAAGCAAATAATCTTTGCATTCCTCAGTCAACAATTCTCAGTGTTTACACTATACATTTTTTCTCATTAGACCCATCATAGGACTCGAGGAAACACAAATTTTCTCCACCAGCCACTGCAATAGCGAGAAACTACAACTCCCTACACCTCCCTCGGCATCATCCATGCGCCGCAGTCAATCAGCTGTTGAGGCAACTGCTGACTATCTCGGCACCAGGGTAGCTCGTTTGTCATACCCTAAGTGAGACGAGGCAAACAGAAATATCTTTATTTACAGAATCCCAAAAGGTGAACGATAAAGGTAATTCAGACTGGACGTGAGGCAGAGGAGCGACCCTGCTGTCTCTCTCTCTCTCTGTGTGTGCGTGTGTTTGTGCATGCTGTTTGGCCGCTTGTGCAGGGAAACATATGGATTATGGGGGGGGATTTCAAGGTTTATTGAAATGTATCGGATGCCTTGATCATCGCGATAACCAGGCATGTGAGGGGTCAGCTTTGGGCTGAGTTTGCTGAGGTGAGGGGCCAGGGAGGTGAGCTGCTGGTTCAGCTGCTTTGATGACCTTGGAGGAGCTGCTCCTGGAGGAGAAAATACGGATTAACTGGTGTTGTGTGTGCGTGCGTGCTTGTCAGTGTGTGCGTGTGTGTGTGTGTGTGTGTGTGTGTGCGCGCGTGTGTGTGTGAGAGAGTGCAATGCAGTCTATACCTTCAAAGTCCAATTTAAGGGCTCAAAGTAGCATCTTGCTGCAGCAATGATCCTGAATGTGTCATCTTCATGGATATTTTCATACTCTTTTCCTGTCATGTTATTGACAGGCCTAGTATGCTGCATGTTAGCTTTCCTGCAGTCAAGAGGAGCATTATTTATATTTAAAAAATCAAGCAAAATCAAATCAAATCAATTTAGCATAATTTAAACCTTGCATGATTTGACACTGTGCTTTGTATTATCGTAGGTGCTGCATGTGCTTCAGAGTGGCCTCGCAATAATCATATCTTGGTTTTATTTACATTTGAGATTGACCTGCTTACAGATGTTGTTTTATGATGTTGCAACTTTATGGCTTTCTGAATGTGAAACTGACGTCTTAATTATCTGCGTGTGAGTCTATTTGGGTTTTTGCAAGGCGTTGTCACGAAGTTAAAGTGTGCTGAATTCTGCATGAATCTCCAGTAGGCTTCTGACATCTCTAACTTCGAGCCGAACACACAGAGTATAGTTTTAGTCTTGTCACAGCCTGAGCTTTAATTTCTTTTACGTATTATAATACTTAATGTGTTATGCCAACTCATGGGCTGTGACAATGCGCCACTCGACCTGAGCCCCCCTTTGCGTCATAATAAATTATAATAGGCTACATTTTGGCACATCAACTTTATCTTATTCTATATATTATTCTCTTCTCATGCACCGTGCTTACATATGAACAACTTATTTGTAATGCAGAGAAAATGTTCGGATCTCGTGCTTCAAGTGCATCACTTTCTTCAGCAATAAAAAAGGGCGAAATAAACATTTTGGTCCAGTTCTTTAAACATAGCCTATAAACTCTCGTGTGTGTGTTTCGGAGCTGCCTGTGTCAAGGTAGATCTGTCTTTAACCTTGCTGAAGGACAGCTGTATTTACTGACGTATGTAAATGAACATAGGGGAGGTCCTTGGGCACAAAACACACTCTGAATCAGTTTCACATTGCAGCTCCGGAGTTCCTGCGTGGAAGGAAAAAACGAGACGTGGCGAAATCTGGTGAATATCTACAGCCATATGCTCCCCCGTTTGTAATTTGTGGGATTTATGAATCATTCTCGTAGTCTTGGGAAGTGTGTTTTCCTCTTCTTCTGTGCGGCTAAATGGGTGATCACGCATTCGCTTTGCAGCTGCCTGGTCCCTCTAACATCCTCTCCCTGTCGGAGTTGTCCCAGTTCATCAGATACTACAGCAGTGATCTCCTGCATACCAGCTATAATAATAATAATAATAATAACTGCTCGTCTCTGTTTCCCCTCGTTGCAGCTCAGCAAACCATGCAGGATGATTTACTGATGGACAAAAACAAAGCCCAGCCTCACCACCAGCAAGATCCAACGCAAGTAGACCCTCCTCCCTCCACCCCGACCCCGTCATCGGAGCCCACTTCGTCTTCATCGGAGTCGGAGAGCCCGTCATCTGGGAGCAACCCAGCGGCTTCAGCGCTGAGCAGCAGCAAGGACAAAGTGCCGATGGAGTCGCCGATCCTGCCCGGGCTGAACTTCCACCAAGAGACCGGCGGTCCCCTGTCCTCCCCTTCCTCCTCTTTTGGGAGCACTTGGTCCACAGGAACCACGAACGCCGTGGACGATAGCTTTTTCCAGGGAATACCCTCTGTGAACGGGACGATGCTTTTCCAGAACTTCCCCCACCACGTCAACCCGGTCTTCGGGGGAAATTTCTCCCCGCAGATCGGCCTGGCCCCGCAGACTCAGCAGCATCAACAGCAGCAAGCCCCGCAGCAGCAGCAGCAGCAGCAGCAGCAGTCCCAGCAGAGGAGATCCCCTGTCAGCCCCAGCCAAGGGCCATTCCCCCAGAGAAACGCTTATCAAACCATAATGAATAACAGTAAAGGGTCGTCATCTTCTGCCCCATCGTCCGCTTGGAATAATCACCAAAACGCCACATGGAGCACAGCCTCCAACCCATGGAGCGGTCTGCAGGCGGGCAGGGACCCGCGCAGAGCGGTGGGTGTCGGGGTTGGGGTCGGGGTAGGAGTCGGTGTCGGGGTGCCGTCTGCCCTGAACCCCATTTCTCCAATGAAAAAGCCCTATTCCAGCAATGTTATAGCACCCCCAAAATTCCCAAGACCAGGTCCTCTAACCCCCAAACCCTGGATGGAGGACAGCGGCTTCAGGACTGACAACAACATACTGCCTTTCCAGGTAAATACACTCAGATCAGGCACAGGCCTGTCTCTGCTGCTCCATTTATTCATTTAAAAAAAAAAAAGTTGACATGTTGTCACTTTCACTCTTCTGATCAAGCTCTCCGAAATCTAGCCTCACTTGATTGTTTTCCACCTTTTTTTTCACATCATAATAAAAGGGGAAACTTTAAGTGACAGAGATAGGTTACAATAACTAGGACAGGGTCAGCATTGACTCAGCTCATAAAATATGTTCAGATATTATGCGATTCAAAAACTATTTAATGGATAAATGTGCCTCTTAGAAATAATTTCAGCACATAAGTCAGCTGTCTATGATTATTCATATTCTATTTCACAATGATGTGATTTATGTTCATATTTTGCCATACATGTCTTTAGTTTGATGCGACATAAACAGAAGCTGTAACCTATTTGATTTGACAAATGACGAGCAGGTTTTGCAGGTTGCAGTGAATCTTGCAGGCTGTATAGGCTATAACTTGAATGCTGCAGGGTTGTGTTATGGAGGTAAAAAAAAAAAAAAAAATCGATGGAGACAGTGAGTCATTCAGGTATTAACCATCGATCATCACTGTTTTTACGCACTGAGACCGACAGACTGTCCTAGCTGTGCACAGTTTACACGAAACGGTTAAGTTTCCCCTGCCGGCTCTCTCGCTCACTCCGTGAAGTTTAAAGGGCACATGACTCATTCAGGTGCTCCTCGTAACCTTCTGAATTCGGTCCAACAAGATCCGTGTCACTTGATTACATTCCGCCCTGACGATCAGGTAGGCCATGACGTATTGCTGTCATTAAATTGTTCTTGATTGATAAATAGCTGGTAGCAGAGAATACATGCTGCACTATAAATAGGAGAAAACATGCATCAGTCTGTAAGCTCATTAAAATTACCTAAGTATTACTCTAAGTTTACTAAGAACTGGACATTGAGGATTATATTTATTGTTATTATAAAAACGATTATTATTTAAGAAAATGACAAAATGTCATATATATATATGTGAACTATGTTTAAAGTGAAGGACGTCCTGCGCAGTAGTCAATATGCCTAGATTTACGATAGTACGTGAATGTAACCTCAAAACTCGCTTTTGATTGGCTCCTTATCGCATAGTGGGCGGGATTTGAACCGAGATGGTAACGCAGCGCAGGTCCAACCCGGAAGTTAGAGGCAAATATCTTAATTAATTCATACAACAGTTTACAGTCAAATTAAGATAGGTGTGGGTTTTTATTCAATATATGACACACCTGAAGTTTTGACATTGATTTATGGCCCTATTTTCGGCTTTTTTTTTAGACTTAATTATGGATAAAACAAGCTAATAGGTCTGTTGTAAGTGCTTCTGGTCTTCTAATAAACCAAACTGACCGCTCAGTAGAAGTCAAGTTCTTCAACCAGAGTTGAACAAGATCCGTTTTTGCTCTAGCTTCATAACACCAGTGACTAACATCTGTTAGCTACAGTAATGTTGAAAAAACAGAGAAATATGATAGTTTACAAATGAGGTCAAAAGCCGTGTTTAGGCCGACTGCCTTCTTAATTTGTCTATTGTAAGCTGGTCTATAATTGTGTGATACTTAGCTTGATTTCATTTTCAACACCTATAGGTTTGACATTTTAATCAACGATCGTAGCAAAAAGTAGGTCGAAGATTTAAAAAAAATAACAATGTTCACCAAAAGCTGCTGAGAGTAAAATGATGAATAGCTGTTCCTGTTCAAAACAGATCGTTTTCCGATGTTCAGTGGCTGAGATTTCAGGAACTTCCATCTGCAAAGCTTCTTTTAAAGTCTGTGAACAATCTGCAGACTGACTGTGTATTTATAAATTAAATTCCACTGATGGAGAGGCTGTCCATATTGTGCAATACAATTTTGATCAAATCTATCAGCGTTATAGAGATAATGATTCTATCACCATCCTGGACCAAGATTATTTTACAGTCCCGCCATACACTAGGGTGGAATACAGTCTTGCCCCTGTCCTCTTATACAACACCATGATGGGCACCAGTTTCATACTGATATGAATTTAATTTAACCTGTCTTGACTGGCGTGTCTGATTGGATGAACGGTCCTCATACTGTGCAACTTTTTCTCTAATCATGTTTCTTTACGCTGCCTGACACACACTGCAACATCAAAAATGAATCCAGCTGAATACTCTCCCCTCCAGTCACTGACTTTCTTAAAAAGAAGTAGTTATTCGCTCGATGAATGCGAGTAACTGCATGCAGAGCGGCAGACTGGTCTAAACGTTTAACTGTTACTGCAGAGGGGATTTTCTGTGCAGAGAAAAACGGCAGCCCAGTGCAGGGTGAAATTCCAGCCAGCTTGAAACGTACTGCTTTCAGGAGATAATGATTGTGTGTGTCAGTCAGGCCTCCTCTCCCGGCTGTCCTCTGGTGAGTGCCTCTTTTGCTCCACTTGTCACCAGGACACAAGGTCAAAATGCCACAGGTCACGCTGTACAGAATGGTGACTGTTTACTGAAATGCTGTCATGTATTCTTCTCTCATGTGCTGTTGCCAGATGGAACATCAGGGTTAAAGTGACATACTGCGTGAGAAATATACGCCAATTAGAGATAAACGGATGTGTGAAAAAGTAATCTGCATAAATCTGACAATTCATGCTTTGTTTGAATCAAGCTAAATTTGTCGATTGAAAACATTAATAGGTTGCAGAATTTGAGCTGGTGTTGCAAATAAAGATCGCACTGACTTTGTGGTGATTTATCTCTGCAAAACAAACAAACAAAAACTGAATCATGGCACAACCTCCATGACTGAGGAATGAAAAGTGCCAAAAACTGCACTTCTTTAAGTGTCCTCTAGAGGCCGGCTCCAAATGTATCATAATCCCCTTTAGGCCTCCTACAGACGGCGTGATTTTTGCGATCTTATAAGATTAATGTAAACCACACTGTGCTGATCTAATAATATTTGGTACGACATACATGTGCACCGTGCGATGAGGTACCCAGTGAATCGTAGGCTGCCAAGCAAATCAACACGGAGCGTCAATAGCATCATCAGTGTCCGTCAACCTGATCGAGCTGAGGTTGCCATGGCGGTTAGCATAAAGCTAGCTCTTGCCATAGTGGCCTTCATGTGCATTAAAAAAAAAAGAGGAGGAATAGAAAAATGTGTACACGGTTGTGGTGAGGAAAACAAGGTTGGGTTGCCATGTTATCGTTAGCATTAGCTTTAAGAGCTCTGGCGCCTGTGTGGTTGATTGGTGCGTCCTTTAATGTTGCATTTCTATTGGTTGGTTATTTGACGTAGATCGTAGAAGCATTCACATTGTGAGATGATTGTCCTAAATTATAAACTTATATTAGCTTAAGCAACATTTTAATAATAATGATACCGTTATAATTGTTTTTTTCCTGCAGACAAGTCGGTACGACTGATTCTTTTAATACAACAACTATTCGTCAACTAGCTAATTAGCCTGCTAATGACTTAGCCTTGGGCAGACCTGAACATGTGCTAGCCCATTACTCCTCTGTAGCGTCACCCCATCCGTAATGCACGGTCCTTCTGGTTTTTAATAACCAGGATTGCGATGGCCAATACACCAAAGTCAAGGCTTCAAAACGCTTGTTCAAAAAGAAACGGCTTTTCTGTCATTTTAAATATTTGACTAACTCTAAACATATGAATGAGTAATCTAATAAACACATATTTTATATTGCTTGCGTTGTCATGTATGCAAGCACACAATTTCCCCGACACTCCTCAGCAGCTGCTTCTGCGGCTAATCAGTACTGTGTCTCTGCAGGACAGCGGTGAATAAATAATGAATAAAATGACAAGGGATGTAAAACTATGACTCTGTACTGAGAGCTGTCCATGAGTCTGTAGCAGCAGCCTCTTTGTACACACCTTGCAGAACAGGTCTAAATTCTGCTGTTTCCTCATTAATCTTTTGGCCTCTCAGGGCTGTTGTTCTCCGTGACAGTGACTTGTACTCTGGCTTGACAAACGGCATCAGCTCCCGGAGGCTTTCTCCTTCCACAAAACTCAATGGGAGCATATTTTCAGTCCCCAGTTTCTGTATTAGCAGGCTAATCTCTGCTCTGGTATGATCACAATGAGGGGTGCTAACAAGGCTTTCAGATGATGTGATGCGAGACTGCCTGCTGTCTGTCTCCACTGGTTTTTTCCTTCTGCTGTGAGCGCACATGATTAAGCATTAAACAAGTATTTCTATGAAATGCAAGTTTAGATGCATATCTTGCAGTGCATGTTATTGTCGACTTTTTGTCAAAGTACTTCCAGACATCATTTTGCTGGTCCCGGCTGACATGGTGCGAGAAATAATAATAATATTAACTGATTTATATTGCACTTTTTAAAAACATGTTACAAAGGGCTTTATTATATAAACAAGCAAAACTGCTTTTCATACCGCAAAAGTACAAATCAAAAACTAATAAAACTAACAGTTAGGCAAATAAACAGGTGCTTGACATAAAAACTAGATACCCGTATCAATCAGGATAAGGAAAAACGCTCAGTAAAGAAATTCCCCTTCCCAACTGCGACAAGAGTAAAGGGAAAACAGTCAGGACACTCTGCAGAGAGAATGTGAGAAAGAGAACAAGGAAGGCTTAGCTGGGCCAGAAGCCAGTTTAGGCTGGAGCTCACCCCCATCGGGTTAGGCTGTACGCCTTACGATCTTTTTTCTCTACAGTATTCAAGACCCAAAACATCAATTCAACATATATGTCACTGAAAACCTGCCAAAGAAGTTCACAACAATGCCAGCAGTTAAAAAAAAAGCCAACCGATGAAATTGAGTTTTAAGAAGCCATTTTAAAAGAGGACATGGAGTTCCACTTCTGTGGGGCCCAATCTGGAAAGGCTCGGCCACCTTTTGTGTTGAGTCAGGTTTCAGGAAATGATAGTAGGCTGGGGCTGCTGTGGCTCAGTGGTAGAGTCGGTTGTCTCTCAACAGGAAGGTCAGGGATTCAATCCCCAGCTCCTGCAGGCACATCTCCGACGTGTCCTTGGGCAAGACACTTAACCCCAAGTTGCTCCTGCAGCTTTGTCAGCGGCGTGTGAATGTGTTGGATTAGTTAATACTGATTGACTGTTTACATAGCAACCACTGACATCAGTGTGTGAATGGGTGTGAATGGCTAGGTGTGACCTGCGGTGTAAAAAGTACTTTGAATAGTCAGAAGACTGTTTTGGTAAATGGCCCATTAACTATTTTACCAGTAGTTTAGTAAGACCTGCTGGTGCAGGATCTCACAAGGAGTAAGCAGGTCACAGATAGGCTGGGGCCGGGCCATTTATGGCTTTGAAATCAGCAATAAAGTATTTTCTATAGCTCACAGGTAGCCAGTTAGGGGAAGCAAGGACAGGTGTAATGTGGTTCTTGAGGTTCAAAGTAACATTGATTATTGAGATCAACAACAAGTATTGTACGAATCCTTACTTTTTATCCTGTCTGTCCTGAACAACTTGTTCATTTAATTTCAACTGGTGCTTATTGCTCTCTATGATTAGTAAACAGACATGTTAAGTGTGAATTGAAAACCCTCTTTAAGATCACACAGCTCATCAGTTTTCCTGAAGCATTTTGTGCTGTTGAGTTATTGCCGTCTGACAGGGAAGTAATGTTTTTAAGGGCTTATGTGTCTCAGTGATGCAACCCTGGCTGCAGCTCACACTTAGCTGTTTAGCAATTACAGCCATAATTGGAGAGGAGTTATCACCCGTATGCAAGGTCAGGGTGCCACATGTCAAGTGTGCTGTTTACTGAAGTGAAACTGAAGCAAACTGCTGATCCGAGCAGCAGGCTGGGTTACACTCAGCGGCCCCGCGTCGTCACGTGGACAGCTGGTGACAGGTGTACATGTCATTCTGTAGATCTGCCTCGGTAGTTTTGTAGGTTAAAATGTGGAGTCCCGTGTGCTGCGATATGTGCTCATTCTCACCTGATGCCGGCTGACGCTCAAAGGCGGAGGAATGTGCGGAATTCAACTTAACATGTCTGTGTGAGGCTCAAGACTCAAAGTCACATGATGTGGTGAGGAGACACCCTGACTTAAAGTCATGTTAGTCGCCTTCTATCGCAAGTTCCTCTGTGATCACAATCGGATCAGATCAGATCAACACGCTCAAAGTTATTCTGCAGACTGACAAGCAGAGTCTCACAGGCCAAGGCTTTCTGAGGGACATGATGCAAAACATTCACATTGCAGCTCTTCTCCAGCTTTTTTCACATGTTTTCCTTACTATCCAAACTTTGTATTTTGACAATCCTAATGTCTCATATTAGCTGTCAAATGGCTGTTTACATAATAATAAGCGTGTTGTGGTTCTGGTCAGGATTGAGAGGGCACAGGGGGCATGTTGGCTTGCACCATCAGAAAAAAACTATTTCAATTCCAAATAATGTCAGTAATTTCCCACAAATGGCAACGATGTAAAAAGCCTTGTTAATGCTTCTTCATATTGTAGTGCTGGTTACAACAATCAAGTTACATCATCAAGATATTATTGTGGACTCTTGGAAAGATCTCCTTTCTGTCATTTTAGACTAAAACATAATCAGTTACTATGAAAAATAATGATCCATTTAATTGATACTGAGAAAACGTGTAGTTGAAAACCTGGTTTGAACAGGTTCTTAAATGTCCAATACTGATTATAAGTCTATCCCAGGTTGTATAATTTGTATGGAAGCCCCAGGAGTACATACACCCATACATTTATTTTACTCCATTCTCCTGTGAAACCCATAGACTGTATAAAGCATGGACGTAGTCTCCATGACGCCATCCATTGGTTACTGAAGGAGAGGTTAGAAGCCAAACAAGGGCGGTCGCCATATTGGAAATGCCATCTCAACCTAACCTTCAGTCAACCTGCTAACAGACAGAGGTGGAGCTTAGTGTGTCTTTAAACACCTGACAAACAGAGGCAAGGGGTACCGTTTGCAATCGCATCAACAATGCCCCTAATCATGCAACTTATATCCTTCATGGAATCAAAACGGCGAGTAACACAAATATTCACCTCTGTAAAGTGTGTGCCAATGAAGAAATGAACTACTCCTACTAAAATCGTTTTTCAGACCAGCTTATAAAAATGTGTGCTTCTGTTGTATATATGTACATTTTAACATGGGCTGTAATAGGGATTCCTTGGCTTTTGCAGCAAGCCTCAAGTGGACACTCAAGGAACTGTATGTTTTTGATTTTGCTTAATTTTTCAACAGCGGAAGTTGCTGCTTTATCAGAGCAAGTCATTTCCGATTATTTATCTATTTTATGTTGAGATAACAAAGCTGCCAAGATAGCGAGATAAATAAAGTTCAGCTCTAGAGAAGATAACAAAGATTTACTCCTTAGTGCAGGACACAGAGTGAGACAACATGTACAGATGCATGTCCACTCAGGGCTCCCGTAGTTTTTGATGACATTTAATGGATTCAGTGTTAAAAGTGAGCTGATATCAGATAGGATAAACAGATATTTGAAAGGAAAAGTGTCGGAATGAGAGGAGGTAGATTTGTATTATTTGTATATCGAGAATTAAGACGTGAAGACAGTTTGAAAGCCAGAAAAATGAAATCTCAGATATCTGATTTGTTTTCCTATTTTGCATTATGAGAATCAAAACTGTCCAAAAACAGCTGGGACGTTTAGATTGAATTGTTCTACTCTAATTCATTTTTTACTTTGACTGAGAGCTCTTCTTGATAGTAAACCTTTCAATTCAGTTCTGGAAATGCAGTTTTAAAAAATGAATCTTCATGCCTGGTCTTAAAACTTTCCATAAAATTCAAACGGATCACATCTGGGCTCCTGAAACATTACTCTCTTGATCTTTTCCAAATGATGGATGTATTTGATTTGATTTCTTTATAGATTTATCATCATTGTCTGATCACGAGCTCCTTTAAATCATGTCAGGAGGAAAGACAAGCTGCAGTGTAGTCCACAGGTCGACACGTACCTGCACTGCACATGCTGGTTCCATAGCTGAAGTCTGTTTGGACTTCTGTATTTACGATTTATTTACTTTATTGGACCATATCGAGCTCTGTGACACCCCCCCCCCCCCCCCACCAGTCACTCTGCTCATCCTCATGTGTCGGGGGGGCGGAGAGAGGAGGGGGGAGGAAACCCACAGCTCAGCGTTTTTAAGTGTTTACCGTTTGTACCAAGTGGGCAGATTTTTATCTACATGGCGCTGTCGGGTCCAGAGAGGGGGGAATAACACTTTTGAATGCTCAGCCGAATGAGCAACAAAAGCTGTGAGTTCAAACAAAGACCCCCCCCCCCCACACACACACACACACACACACAGCCGCCACAGCAACAGCTGCCAGGACCGTACACCCCGGCTTCAGGCTGCACCTCTGGCTCACATGTTACTCTACTGATCACACACAAACACACACACACACACACACACACACACACACACACACACATAGAGGGGGTGTGTACGTGTTTGATGAGCCACCATTGATGTACTGACTCTCAGGTTTTGGACTTATGTAGACCAGTTTACTTCACAGGATCAGGAGACAGGTTGTGATTGGTAAGGTGTCTTCTTCAAATTGCTGGTTTTGTGAACACCGCAGTACAAAAGCAAAAAACACTTCATAGATAATGAATCAGCAAATGTTCACATTAGAGCAGCTAAAACAAGACACCTGTGGGCATTCAGTCTAAAAAATCCCCTTCAACAATCATCTGTGAGGATTTTTCTTTTAATCGACTTGACTTCAGAACATCCACAGAGTCACGAGCACAATGATGTATTACCAGAAGGCACAGCAGCGGGGTATCTGTTGTTTGCCCCTCTGTTACCTCTCCACCCACTCACCTGACAGTAGAGGAATATTCTGTACGGACTCTCAGGCAGACCGCGTTCACTGCAGCTTAACTCACACTCACAACTAGGGCTGGGAAAGTAATAGAGATTCAATTTCAATTACAATGTTGGCGTCCCACAATCATGAAAACAAGATAATCGAGATGAATCAATTATTGTGCCTCAATGTTGATTATATGTTTCATATGGACATCACCACTACCACCTACTACCTCTTTTACTTATTCATTTTCATGTATTGCTTGTTTTTTTTTTTTAAAGAGGACATATTGTCCCCCTTCTCCACCTTTTCAAACAGTCCCCTGTGGTCTAAATGTGTGATCTGTGCTGTGCTTTGATCAAAATATAACATGAATCAAGCACCAGAGGAGGTTTGTGACCCTGCATAAACCAGCTCTCTCAGAACGTTCCGTTTTGGAGTGTGTGTCTCTTTAAATGCAGTTTTCCCCATAGACATCACTCTAAACATCACTCCCTGTGGACTAGAAATGGCCGACTTGCGCAAAAGTTTTGTTCTAGGCTGGGGGTGGAGTCCATGGGTGGAGATACCAGGGGAGGGGAGGTTAATTTTTTTTTTTTTTTTACCAGAATCCTGAGAATTTTTCTCTGTATTGTAAGACTTATGCAGACCACAAACAAAGGACTGGATGGGTTTATTTCACATTTTGTGGCTCAGTAGAAACTCAGGTTACCCAAATATATGTTCAAAAACACTGTACATAATATGTCCCCCTTTAAAGTGTTCAGCATCTTATTCAGACATGAATGAGGGCTCTATAGCTTTTTATTTAGTTTATTGTAAGGATGCCCTCCAGCAGCTGCACACAGGAGGTCGGATTTGATAGGGTTGATTAATATTGCTCTAAATTAGATGAGAATGCACCACAGTCTGTCTGGCTTCTCTTGCATGAATGGGAGCTGTAGGTACTTGTATGGGGTTGCCAGTGATCTGCCCTTGAGCAAGTTGGGGAACCGCGTCTAATTCCAACAGCATGTGGGAGTCCTGGAAGATCATGAGGTGATAAAGTGTTGCTCTTGTGACTGTAATGCTAACCCGTGTCCTGTTTCTGCTGTGTTTTCAGGACCGGAATCGGCCCTTCGACGCTTTTAGCTTGCACTCATTGGAGAATTCCTTAATGGATATGATAAGAACTGACCACGACAAAGGTAAACCACACCCTGCCGGTGGCCCACCAATGACTATCGCTGATATTATATGGAGGAATCATTTTGCAGGTTAGGAATATTCATACGTTCATGCTTACAGTATTTTTATTTTATTTTTGCTTCATTCAAATTCGTCATCCCTGCATACATTTTTTTATTTCTATTTGCCAATCTCTCGACCAATCAGGTGTGGATCATAATGTTCTTTTTCAAAATTCCAGTGATTAATGATTAACATCATGAGCCTTACCTGCAAAATCTCTCATGATTTTTGTTTGTGCGTGTTTCTGTTGGTGTGTGTGTTTGTGGTGGAGTAGACATACAGCGATGTGCTATCATGTTTTCTTTACTTGCAAACTGTGTTTTCCTTTTTTTTTCCATTCTTTAACTTTTGACTCTGGTTGAAATCAGTGGATCAAGTGTCAATGTCACATGACTTGTGCTTCTGTTGCCTTGATGATGTTAGTATAAATGTGTGTAGTGGATCTGAATCTTTTTGAGGATGATGTTCTCCTACAGCAGAATCAGAAACACTCATGTCAGGGCTGGGCAAGGGAATGAAGCCTGAAGGGGAATGTGATCAAATTTATGCAAATATTGAGGATAAACTATTAACTTTTTCCTGGAATTGGATCGTTCAAACAGCCAATCACACAGAGGAAATAGCGACATCAGCCAGTTAGTCTGTAGGATATTTTTTAGTGCATGACGAGGTTGCAGACTCTCCCCTGCTGTAAAGAATTGTTTGAGCTGCGCTTAAAGACAGCTGGGTCCTCTGTGAGCTCACTTGCTCAAATGTCACAAAAAGTTTAAATTCATCACAATTACAACATTTTGGTCTGGTCAAAATGTTGTCACAGACACCCTCAGTGTGCAGGCCTATCTTCTTCCTCAGTCTGCTGTTTTTCCACGGTCCTGCACCTACTGTATATGTGATGTGCGTATAACTACCTCCTTTTCCTCTGTGAAGGGTGAACAAAATGCATGGAAGTGAAGTTATTTCCCAAAATTAAGAAATTGTTGATATCAATAAACAGCCTTTTAAAGTTAACATAAACCATCTGACTTAAGGCCTCCGTCCTGATCAGGTAACTCCACAAACCGGCAGCATTATCTCATTTGCATTGGAAGAATATGATTACATATATATATATTTTCATTACCATTTTGCTTCACTTTAACATGTGTGACATGTCTCAAGACTTCGCATAGCCCTAAGATCAGGGTTATCAGGGCCTCCAAGTAACCTTGTGGAGTGTAGATTCATAAAAGAATAAAAGAGCGTCACGTTGTTTGATCTCCTGGAGAGAAAAGAGAGTTTATGAAATCATGAAAACAGATATCTCTTCACACCCTTTTAAGGCCATCCAATGTATGTCAGGCCCTCTAAGCTAATATTTTCGTAGCTCAGGTCACGTGCATGCTGTAAAAACTTTGGATCCAGTCTCCCCGTTGGGGCCCTGTCAGGTTAGGGTGGAGGGTTTATATGCTCTCCCCGTTCTCACATCTTTAAAATGGAAAGATTGGTGGTACAGTCTGTGATGAGCAGAGCATGTCGCTTTCTCGTGCGTGGAGTCTGCTGTCCTATAGTCCCGTCCTGTGAGAGAAGTGTTAGAGCATCGTCCGGCCCTGCTTATGTTCACTGTAGAGGTGTGGTGACATCCTGCAGGGCTTTACAGACTGTTTATCAAAGCTCAGGAGCAAAGACAGAGCACATACAAGGGAATACAGAAAGTCTGCTAGATGTGAAGAGGTGTGCATTCCTGTCTTCTCTCTTCTCTTGTTTACCCCTCTCCTCATGTAGACTGCGTGGGGCTGCGGTAAGCATGTGCCAACGGCATCATCATCATCTTGATTTCACATCACAAAGCCAGTAGGGAACATCCTGTCCAATAGATACCTTACATATAGTTTTCCTTCATTTTCAGGTCCGTTAATTGTTAAAATTATCAAAATGATAGTGGCCATATGGTCCAGTCTTCTGAGATGTATAGCCTAGCTTGCATGCTAGCACTCTCACCTGTTTCCACATAAAGGGGCCGGGCTAACCTGCAGCTCATGTTGCTCATGTTGCTCATGTGGACAGGTTCAACAGCTGCTCCTGAACTATATAACGAACATTCATTTAGTGAGAGAATTTTCAAGGCCCCTTTAATCTTTAAACATTAGAAGTGCGCTCTCAGTCTGCCTTCAGAGTCCGCCAGCTCGTTTGAAACGGCGTGCAACGAATCTCAATATACGTTGGGCCACGTAGGATGCATGGGGGTGGAACCTTTTCGTCGGCAGGGGAAAGGAGGATGCATTTGCGGTCCCCATTTGAAAGAGCCTTTGAAACTGGACGGCCTTGGAGTGAACACAGAATGGGCACTTTCAGGCTCGACTCTTAGACTCCACTTTCAAAGGCCTTATTACATTGTGTAGCAAACACTGTTCCTGTAGGAGGACTTTTACTCCCCCAGTCTCTACAGTTATTTGCCATTTAATTGTAAGAAGCATTTTAAAATGATAACGTGACAGCGCACAGTCTAAGCCAGTGACAAAATTGGGTGGAATCAAGGCTCGTATTCAGATGCCAGTGTTAAGGCAAATTTTCACTTTTTTTAGTTGTCGAGTTCTAACTTGAACAGATCTAGGTCAGTAAGTGAAATGTGCAGCCACCTATGATAAGACGGGGTTATGATGAGAGAAAACATGATTTTAATGGGTGTATTTCTGCCAATAGCTGTGTTTTAAGGCACTTTGAGGATAGATAGAAACAAATCACCGTCTGAGGACCACCAGTCAAAACTAATTAACACCGTCGGCCCAGTTTCACATTCCCAGCAGAACACGTCTCACCCACATCCACAGATGTGTCTGACATATTTCCCATTGTGACTGGAATAGTTCTTTTAAGAGTCCTTGTTTGGATGAGTGAGTGTGTGTTTTTTTTTTTTTTTAAAGAAGCAGAAGCATTTTTTAAATGGTACAAATCTGAATTACTGGGTCCGCTAAAAGAGTATGATGTCATCCCACCCACACCCCCTCTTCTCTCCGCTGGAAGGGAGGCAATTCGTTGTGAGTCAACCAGCAAAAAAAGCCTTTTTCAAACATGCCCTTCTGATTTTGTTCCCCCTGAAATACCTTTTCAGGACAGGCTTCCCCTGAAAATGTCCTGAATTACTCTTTAACACATGTCCCCCACAGTGGGAGACTTTCCCTGTCCGACTGGAGGAAGTGGGCGGCTCAGGAGGCAGGAGATCACACAAACAGGACGTTGCTGAGTTGGCGGACAAATCAAACAAGTGATGACATTTTTTGCCTTTATATCCCATTTAATGCTATGTGCATTTAGGCATATGTGCAGTATAAATGAATAAGCGGAAAACACATTGAAGCGGCTTCATTACGTGCACAAAGATTGTTCTCTGGTCGCTCATTGCTCACGTCAACATGCATCAACCCTCCTACTCGCGAATTTCTCTTAATATTCCTGTTGCATTCTCAAATCAACTCTACCCAACTTCCTACAGACAGTTTGCTGGTGGGACTGCAGAAAAAAGTCCAGATAAGGTCGGGGGTGAAAAAATTCAGATATGTCACATTCAGCTCACTGCAAACCTATTGACGAAACATTCAGCAGTTTTGTGCATGTGTAAGATAGTAGGTAGAGTCAGCTGCAAAGTGTGAGGTGGAGAGAGATATTTTATTCTTTTTATAACTTTGTTCTGCCTGAACAAACAAATGCTTTCTGGTCCACGTGTAGTTCCTGAAATGGGTCAGCTGAGCTCACAAGTGGAGATCCAGGCACCCCCCCACCCCACCCACAAAAACACAAACACACCAGAGATTCTCCCCTTTGGCCTGGAAAAACACCACCAGTTTGACAACAGCCTACACACACACACACACACACTCAGGACACACAGAGCCAAATGCTCCTGACATGTAAATCAACTGTGACATTCCATACAAAGCGGACTCACCTCAAACACTCTCTCAGGCTGTCACGGTCGTCTCTGAAAAGATGACTTCACAGACTGGATACTGTGTCTGCAGTATGAACCACTCCCCACTCCCCACTCCCCACACACACAAACACACTCTCCATGTTGTCACTATCCATTTGAGATCATCCAGGGTGTTAATAAGTCCCCGAAGTCCTCGTGGCAGCCGAGTGTAAATCAAACCCGCCCACAGTGTCTCTGCTCTGGTCTGAATCCCAAAGCATCTCTTTGTCTCTCTTTTTTGTAGGAACTCTGTTGCAAATGTTTATTTTTTTTGCAAAAGTAATGTTTATATTTGTTTTTTTTTCTTTAATAATAGTTTAAGAGTAGAGTAGTTTCTGTTTTTTGTCAATGATTTCAGCTGAGCAGCCCCGCACAGTGACTAAAAATTTCAAACCACCAAACTGGAACCCTTAAAGCGTTCTCCCTTTATATGCACTGTACACCTGCATGATATGAGAAAAATGTGCAATGTTCAATATTGCAAAAAAAAAGAGGTGCAATATATAAACAAAGAGTGCACAATAGCGATAATTTACTGTTTTAATGTTTACATGGTGTTCTTCTTGTTTTACCTGTGTTTGCAACATGTTTCTCTTGAATCCAAAACAAGTCCAAAAACAAATACATTGGCATCAATTAACCTGAGGTCAGCACACAGCTAGCTTGAGTTTCCTCTGATTTCCTCAAAACTGTGTGAAATCATCAGCATTATACTCAGGTGTCCATGCAAAATGTAAAAATGTCTAAGCTCGGCACAGGCGTGCAATTTCAGGGCGATTATGACCTGAGCCGGGACTGACTGAAGTGAGGCGGATATCAGACCAAACGTCGACGTATGCTGTGCAGTGTACAGAGTGGAATGAGTTTGATCTGCAGCTCCTGACCAGCTGGATGAGTTAGGGTGTTTGGAATTTAGATTGTACGACTGTAGACTCACACACAGTGAACGCAGAGCAACGAGCTGATTTCAAACCTTTTTTTCTTTTTTTGATCAGATATGGGATCTCTTTTAGTTCAGATTTTGGATTAATGGCACAGATTGGGTTAATAAACACGTTTTTATGCTAAGGTTTTGCTAAA